CTGTCTGGAGGAGAAGGCCCAGCATCTATGTGCCTTGCCTACAGTTGGCACTATTGCTGCGAAATAGCCCTGAAAAGTTGAAGTTACTACCCACAGTCCTACTGTTCATCTACCACCTGCACCTGGCATCCCTCAGGGGTTCTAGCCTTATAGCACTGAGCCCCATGTTGGGACTGTCCTCTCCGCACTGGAAAGACCCCGGAGCAAAAGCTGCCTCTCTCTGCCAATGTCCAAGACCAACGGAGTCTCTGGTGCTGGGATCTGCTGCATATGAAGACAGCCTTGCCACCTGGACTGTCACCCAGGAGTTGCTGCAGATCCACACATTCCAGGAAAAAGAGCAGAAGAAGAATCTGGGGAAAGTTCTGGATCGGTTGGAGAATCTGTTGAAACAGGCACTGGACCGAATCCCTCAGATTCAGGAAGCCATGGGAGACTGGTGGGAGCAGCCAGGCCAGGCTGTCCTCTCTGGGGAACACTGCCAGGGTTTGTCCCTGCCCCAGTGACAGCTACACTGGGACCAAGCCCAGGAGACCCTACAGCAGCTATGCAGACAAAGATGGAACTTGAGCAGGAATCATAAACATTGCAAGTAATAGATGTTGGGGAAGATGTGGAGAAAAAGGAACTCTTTTTTTTCTTAGGAAAAAAAAAGTAATTATTAAAAAAAAGAGAAAGGAACTCTTATACATTGTTAGTAGGATTGTAAAATGACACAACCATTCTGGAAGACAGTTTGGCGCTTCCTCAAACAAAGGCTGAACATAGAAATTCCATTATGACCCAGCTATTCCACTACTTGGAATATAACCTGAGAAAATGAGAACTGAGGCACAAACTGAGATTTGTACTCCAATGTTCAAAGTAGCATTATTCACCATGCCAAGAACATGGAAACAGCCCAAATGTCCAACCACAAACAGATTGAGAAATTATGGCACATTCACACAATAGAATACTATGCAGCATGTAAGAGCAATAACTTTGTAAATTATTACCTAACTTGGGAGGAACTGGAGAGCATTATGCTGAGTGAACTAATTCAGTCCCACAAGGATAAATATTGTTTAAAACTGTTATTATAGAATGAGTATAAGGATCCAGAAGGAGTGGGGAGTGACTGGAAGTAGAGGGATGTGGATGTGCAGTGGGAGGGGGAGATTAATCATTGAGTTGTTGTTTAAAAGAGATATATAACTAGGTATTTCTGTCATCACAGGAGACTAGAGCGAGGGCTACATGGTGGAGGGGACCTGGGGGAGGGTTAGTAAAACAATGAAAGAATCTTTTCTTTTACTTTTCCATAATTTTTGGACTCATGTACTTATAACTTGTTAGTCAAATTTGTGTCTTCTAGGTTGCAACACCTCCATGATACATCTTCAATGATATGAATATGTACGGCCAAGCACAATCAATAAGAGTGCATCTAAATTCCAAAATCAATCTCCATAATAGTCTATGTGTTTCCTACTGCCAAAGGAGCCCTTTAGAGTAGTGAGAGAAGATCTTCACCCTGAAACCCACAGCGTCCCTTTTCATCAGGAAGTAGCTAAGAGAATACGCCATCCCCTTTTCCTTATGACTCAGGGTGAAGTCTCTCTCAGGGAGGAGTGATAGGGAATGGCAAAGGACACACTGACAAAGGAGATTAATCAGAACTGGCTTTGACAAGCACTGTGGCATTTGGACAAGAACAAACTGGGAGGAGGGTAGAGAGAATAGTGCAACAATGAATGAATGGAAACCCGAAATCTCTGTAAATGTTTATGAAAATTAATAAAATATAATTATAGAAAAAAATATTTTAAAAAAAATCATTGAGTTGTACAATTTGATGGGTGGTGGGTGAGGAAAATTGAAATAATTTGTTAGAATTTGTATTCGAGTTTTGTAAATAAACCAGTGGAGAAAAAAACCCAAAAACAAACATACAACCAACCCACTTTCCCCAATAAAACGCTCAGAAGAAAGCATTTGTGGGTTTATTAGCGCACTGTTCCCCCCAAAAAACAAACAAAGAAAACAACCAACCCATCAGGAGTCCTGGTGGCACTGTGGTTAAGACATTGTCAACTAAATCACGAAGGTCAAACTCACCAACTACTCTGGAAGAAATGAGGCAGTCTTCAGTCATAAAGATTACGGCCTTGGACATCCTAAGGACAGTTCCACTCTGCCTACAGGGCCGCTGTGGGTCAGAATCCAGTCAATGGTAGCAGATTCAGGGTTTTATAAAGTACAGCTCAGAACTGATTCGATTTAGAACCCACCTAGAGAGTTCGGTGGCAAGTCTGTAAAGGGCTACACTGCTAAACCATCAGTTGCCTGTGTCCGGTGGCTCAACTCCACTAGCAGCTCCTTAGGCTACAGGTGGGCATTATCCTCCTATAAAGATTTACAGCTTCATAAAACAAGTATGAGATATCATCTCACCCAAGTAAGATTAGCTAAATTTGACAGAACAACAACTAAACAGCTAATGTGGGCAAGGTTGTGGAGAAATTGGAACCCTTATTCACTGTTGGTGGGAGTGTAAAATGGTGTCACCATTATGGAAGGCAGTATGGTGCTTTCTCAAAAGGTTGGAAATAGAAATACCATTTTACTCAGCAATTCCACTGCTGGGAATATACCCTAAAGAAACCATAACTGCCACTCAAGCAGATATATGCACATCCATGTTTATTGAGGCTTTGTTCACAATAACAAAGAGTTGGAAACAATTCAAGTGCCCATCAACAAACGAATGGATAGAGAAGCTGTGGTATATTTGCACAATGGAATACTATGCTATATTGAGAAGCAAGGAACTCAGGAAATATTATACAAAATGGGTGACATTATGCTGATGAAATATCTCAATCACAGATATGTCAGTCAGGGACAAATACTGCATAATGTCATTGTTATAAAACAGGACTTACATAGGGATTGGGGGGAATCTGAGAAAAAAGGGGATAAATAATGTATATTGCATTGAAACAGATGAGAGAACTGTTTGAAAAGAATACATGATTAAGTATTATTTTCATGGCAAGAGTCCAGAATAAGAGCTTCATGGGAGATTGGACATGGGGGGGGGGGCGATGTGTGTATAATAACGAATTTTTTTTTTCTTTTCAAAGAAAAACCAACTCAGGGGAGGGGTGGGCAGGGAGGAAAACGTGCAACAATGAATGAGTGGAAACCCAAAGTCTCTATAAGCTTTTATTAAAAGGAGAAGAAAAAAATATTTATAGCTTTTATAAATATTATAGATGGGGGGATGCTATGAGTAAGTGATGTTCTGATATGACCTCATTAACAAGACAAAAGAAAAACGTTTTCCCAGAAAGGGTCATATACACAGATACAGGGGTTGGGATTTAATTGTGACCTTTTTTTCCTAGGGGGTGGGAAAGATACAATTCAATCCATAGCTCTTGGTAATAGACACTTGGAGCAAAAGATTCATTCTGTTTATTTGCTAAGCCCACTAAGTAGGAGATTAACTAGAGAGTGGAGAAAAAGAAGGTATAATGCACCTGGGTAACCTTGAGAACACTAGACTTTTTTGTTTTGGGGTCATAAAAATGTAATATTCATAAATATTCATGATACTGCTATTGTTGTGCTGAATTGATTCCAAAAGAGTAAAATTGTCACACAGGGTTTGCTAGGAAGCAGTCTTTTAGGAGCTGTTATTTAGGAAGCTGTGTTGGTCTAGAAGTTAGGGAGTTGTGCTGCTAACCCAAACATTGTACCTCTCTGACATTTGGAATCCAGCAGCAGCTAGTTGTCAGGAAAACGGAGTCTCCCCTAGTGTCATTTACAGCCTCTGACAATGCACTGGAGGGTCACTGGGAGTCCCCACAATATGGCAATGAGTAAAGTATTTTTGGCTTCAATCATTTTGGAAACAGATTCTCAGGTCTTTCTCTCAAGGAGAGCAGCTGGGGAGGTGAGGTGGGTGTTGAGGAAGAGGTAGTTCAAACTGCCTACCTTTTGATTTCCATCAAAGCAGTTAGCCACTACACCACCAAGGCTCCTTAGCCAATCAGAGAGTATTGTAAAGGGAGTGGATTCTACTAACTTTCCTCCCTACTTCCAGGAGTGTGGGGGGACAGATAGGAACACTCTGGAATCATGAGTGAAAGGGGGAGTTTAGATCAAAACCGGCAGATAATAGAGACTCCCTTTCAAAACCCACTTGTTCTTTTAGTAACTGAAAGATTTAAAAGGCATAAGAATGACTTTTTAAATAGATAACTTTTTCCCCCAGAAAAAAACCCAGTAGTCCCATAAGAATGAAACCATCAAGAGGGCTGAAATGGGGCAGCTACAGGCTGGGCATCAGAGACCTTTGGCTTTCCTCCTCACTAAATAATTATTTTCTTAAATTGTTTTCAAATCAAGTAAACCAAGCAGACCATAGCACCCAGCCTTCCTTCCAGCTGACAATTTCCTGAGGAGAACACATGTAGTCCAAGGTTGTTATTTCTGATGGTTTCCAGGGCACATCCCTGGGCTTCAGTCCTCCCTGGTCCTTCCTTGGGCCTCCCTGATCCCCTGCTCACCTCATAGGGAGCTGGGGCCTGGCAAGCAGATGAACCCAGGTTAGAGGGTAAGACAGATATTCACAATATGCAGGCTTGGTACCTGGTCCACCAACTACTGCCATGTAGATCTAATAAAAGGAGAATCAAACTGTGTAATCTTTTGGTGTAATTTCCTACTATCAGGCAGAAACCCCAAAATCCAATCTGTTGCCATTAAGTTGATGCCATGATAACATTGATTCCCTCAAGATCTTATTTGTTTCACAGAACTGCACTCCACAGGGTTTTCTTAGAGAGAATGAGTATAATCACCTTTCTTCGTGATACTGCTAGGTGGATTCAAACTGCCAACCACTGTATTAGACCTGAGAGCAAACCCTATGTGCTGCCCAGGGAGCTTTGACAAAGAGAAGGATGTGAGGAAAAATTAAATGACCTACAAACATGTGCATGTCATACCTCCAAAACCAGGCCTCATGCTAAAATCATGGTCGTCTATCCTTAGGAGCTGCTCAGATTTTGTCAGCGGGGACTTGGTGATGTCAGGGCTTCGTTTCAGAATCGGGCTGTGGGAAGAAAAAAACCAAACCAAAAAACTAGGTTGGTCACAGATATTAAACAATCCAGATTTAAAAAACTATTTACATTCAGGCTTTTAACCATGATGGACTTCCTAAGTATTTATATCTTCCTTTAAGCTATTGTATATGGTAATGGGAACGATACAGGTGAAAAGACAGGGTAATGATGGGCAACGTCCAATGATGATTAATTTTATAAAACATAAGAGTGATTGTATGAAACACAATGTAAATGAATAGTATGAAACATTATGTATACAAACTTTGCAGGCAAGCAAACAAAAAACCAAACCCAGATAATTTTAATGTGTAAATCAAGGTGGTCTTGGTCTTTAGTCTTAAACGCAGACTTCAGAGGATCTTAACCCCCTGAAGGGTGTGAGCTTGCGGGAAGTATCAGTCAGCTGAATCCAGGACAGAGGCTTCTAGGTGGTTCACTTTGTGACGGCAGGAGGGACTCCTCTAATGTTAAATGCTAGCTCTCTAGTCACCATCCCAACAAGAAGTGAGTGCATTCTGTTCCTGTTTCTGAATTAGTTGTATTTGTTGTTGGTGTTGTTATGTGGTCTCTAGTCACCTGCAAGTCAGTGACCCTATGTAGAACAGCTTTCAAGCCTGCCTTATTCTGAGCCAGTAACACTGACTCTGACACACCTATCTCCATTACTCCAGTAACAAAATCAATTCATCTCATCTGGGGTCTTCCTGTCTTGTGCTGCCCCTCCACCCTGTCAAGCATGATGTCCTCCTGTAAGGGCATATGCCCAAACTATGTGAGATGGAACTTCAAAATCCTAGCTTCCATAGAGAAATTTGGTTTCACCCTCTCAAAGATAGACTTCTTTGTTTTCACAGCCGTTCATGGTATGTTCAAGACTCTTCTCTAGCACCACAACTCAAAGGCATCAATTCTTCTTCTGTCATCCTTAGTCATTGTCCAGCTTTCTGATTCATAGAAAGAAATTGTGAAGACCATGGCCCGGATCAGGAGAACCTTAGTCTCTAGACTAACATCATTGCTTCTCAATACTCTGGAGAAGTCCCTGACAGCAGATTTCCCCAGTGCAATTCTTTTAATTTCCTGACTATTGGTGCAGAGAGTGTAATTGTTAATAACTTCAGTCTCTTCTCCATCTATCATGGTGCTGCCGGTTGGCCCAGTGGTTAGAATCTTTGTCTTCTCATTGTTGAGCTTCAATCAGCTGTGGGAGGATATCAAGAATATCATCCAGAAAATTGTCAAGTTTATTTGGAGAGGAAAGAGACCTCGAAAAGGCAAAGCACTTCTGAAAAATAAAAATGAAGTGGGAGACATAACACTCCTTGACCTCAAAACTTAACTACACAGCGGTAGTAACCAAAACAGCATGGTACTGGTACAATGACAGGCACATAGACCAATGGAACAGAATTGAGAAATAGACCCAGCTATCTATGGTCAACTGATACATATCAAAAGCTTACAGGACTTCCACAAGAAAAAGGCTAATAACCCAATTACAAAAAGGGCAAAAGATCTGGAAAGACTCTTCACAGAGGAAGATATTCAGATGGACAACAGGAGACATGAAGAAATGGTCAAAATCACTGGCAATAAGAGAAATAAGATTCAAAACCACAATGAAATACCATCTCACTCTAGTAGCAGTGGCAAAGTTTAACAGGACAGCAAGTTATAAGTTGGAGAGGATGTGGTAACTTAGGAACTCTTATACACTGTTGCTGAAATTGTAAAATGGTAGTCTGGAAGGTAGTTTGGCACTTCCTCAAAAAGCTGAACATAGAAATTCCATATGACCCAGCTAATCCACTGCTTGGAATATATTGTTGTTGTTGTTATGTGCTATTGAGTTGCCTGCAACTCATAGCAGCCCTGTGCACAACAGCCCTAAACACTGCTCTATCCTGTGCCAATTTTATTGTCTCTGACACACCTACCCCCATTAACCCAGTCACTGAATTAATCCATCCCATCAAGGGCCTTCCTCTCCTGTGCTGTCCCTCCACCCTCCCAAGCATGACATATCTCTCCAAGGACTTGTCTCTCCTTGCAACATGTCAAAAGTACGTCAGAAAAAGCTTCAGAATCCTTGCTTCCAAGGAGAAGCCTGGTTTAACCCTCTCCAGGATGAACCTGTTCATTCTCTTAGCAGTCCAATACTCTTCTCCAACACCACACCTCCAAGGCATGAATTCTCCTTCTATTATTCTTCATCATTGTCCAGCTCTCTAAGAACTGAGGCACAAATTGAGACTTGTACACAATCATAGTAACGTTATTCACCATCACAAGAACATGGAAACAGCCCAAATGTCCAACCACAATTCAATAGATTGAGAAATTATGATACATTCACACAATGGGATACTACGCATCATGCAGGAGCAATGATTTTATAAATTACTACTTAACTTTGGAGGGACTGAAGAGCATATAGTGAACTCACTCCCAGAAGGACAACTATTGTATAAGATCATTATCTTAGAATGTGTATGAAGATCCAAGGGGAGGAGGGAGGGAGCAGAGAGGTGAGGATGGGCAGTGGATGGAGGGGTGGTTAATCATAGGTTCACACAATTTGATGGGTTGAGGGGGGAGTGAATAAAGGAACTAGGAAAGATCCAATGTGAAAAACAATCTATATGAATTTTGTAAGTAAACCAGTATAAAATGAAAATTTTATTTTAAATTAAAAAAAGAATATCATCCATAAAGAATGCAAAAGGTCATTACAAAGACAGAGGAAGAAGAAAAGACCAAAATGGATATCAGAAGAAACTCTGACAGTTAGCATAGTTTTAATTTCTTTATACTTTTTTAAAAAAATAGCTATTTTTTAGCTGCTATTTTAACAAGATTCAAGAATTTTAAAAAGGAAATGCAGTAAAGAGGCTTCCTCTTACCTCTGCTTGCATCTTCCATCTTCTCCATTTCCTCATCCATGGGTATCCTTTATCCACAAACCCTGGAGTCTTACATGTACACACAGGTACAAAGATATGCTCTTTATTATATACAAATTTAACATATGCTATATTAATGTATTATTAATACATTATGGTATATTTTTATTATTTTAAACTTAATATGTTTTGCCTATTTTTTTTTTCTATACTAAACCAACCCATGCCCCCTTATTTGTTTTTACACTCACAGTGAACACACCATGGTTTGCTTGACCACTTCTCATTGGTAGACTTCGGGGTTAACTCTAGCCTTTGGCTGTCACAAACTCTGCTGCCATAGCTTTGAATATGCGTCATCTACCCATCAAAACTATCTTTAGAATTCACAGAAATAACTAATCACCTTTTCTGCTAATATCATACTAATACACACTGTTGTCATGTAACCAGATGACAAAATCATATGACTACCTACTGCTACTAAGTATATGGTGTAGTTCCCAGGCTTTGGCATCCAGAGCTCCTGTTCCCTACCCCTGTTTGGGCCAACAGGTCTGGGCATGGATGCTGCTGCTGGGTGAATGCCACCTTGAGATCACTGTCCAAATACATTTTATCTTCAGAATATAGTTTCCTCATTTACAAATAGTTCAGTCCACCTTAAGTCCTTTGCTATCTTCATTCTGGGAGAAACAGTCTAACGTGTGGTTCTGAGGTATAGAGGAGGGTGGTGAAATATGTGGCTGGGAAACAGAAAAACTGGGCTTGGACCTCAATCGCAGTTTACTTTCTATGTGAGTTTAGGCATCTTGCTCCCTGTATATTCAGTTTATAAAAGTGAAGCTTTGACATCAGTCATGGGTGTGGAGATTAAATAAAACAGTGTGTGTGGAAGCACTTTCAAACCATGAAGTTGTATGTAAATAGGATGAACCAATATCATTAATGAGCTGACAGGAAAGTTTCTTTTGAAGAGAGGAAATAACTGTGCTGGTAGCAGAAGAAGTTAGCCAAGTAGAGAACATGAACTAGTGAATAAGCACACAGCCAACATATTTATTTACCACTTACCTGTAAATTTGCTATGCTGGAAAGAAACCAGAGCTTCCACCCCCGCAGATAAATGCTCATGCGTGTTTATTGTGGCTTTGTGTATGATAGCAAAGAGTTGGAAACAACCTAAATGTCCATCAACAAATGAATAGATAGAGAAGCTATAGTATAGTCACACAATGGAATAATATGCTGCACTGAAAAACAAGGAACTCATGAAATATTATACAAAATGGGTGACCCAAATTTGGGGAACAAACTGCTATGAGGCCTGACCACGTGGAATCCTTAACTCAGGCAACAGGGAGATCCTGGGACCCTGAATGGAGGTGAGAAGCCACTTCCAGAAGGGAACAATAGGCTTCCTCTGTGCTCACTCAGGTACTTTGGGGAACAAATTGTTGTCAGGCACTCAGCCTTGCAGGCCTTGGGCCAAAAAGAGAGCACAAATATACAGGTGCTTCTCAAAATATTGCTATGTATTAACATAAACATTTGAGAGCCATGGAATCTGCAAGAACCGGTGGTGTGCAGCTTGTTTTGGTGAGGTATAATGGGCTCCTGTGGGGTACAGCAGGTCATGGTGGGGAGCAGCGAGCCACAGCAGGGAGCAGCAAGCAGCAATGGGACTCACTTGCCAGGAGCAAACCGGCCAGAGGGAAAATGAGTGAGGTCTCCATTTGACTCTCTTCCTATGTGCATTTGTGTGTGCATATCCTCCTCCAGCCCCCGGCCCAAGTATGTGTCTGCATGTGCACCCACCCTCCATGCATCTACTTGTGTGCCCAACCTTCCTCTGAAGCAGTGACCTCGGACCAAGAACCAGCTATCATCTCAGTCGCATAGCACTGTATCACAGCAATGTCCCTAAAGAAGCAGACTACCTCACTCCCCACACAAGCCCAAAGGGAGATATCACCCTAAAAGGAGACACAATAGCAATGAGTTTGCTGAAGCCAGAAAGTCTGATGGAACTTTCTGACACAGAATTTTAAAAAAAAAAAGATGATTAAATATTTTCAATG